TTAAGGAATCCGATGACGAGGGAGAGCTCTGTCGAGCCGGTGAGGGTGTCCTTGGATCGTGGTCATAATTAACGGGCGGCGTCGTGCACAAGAGGCGGTGGCAACGTACGGGTCTGTCTACCTCCACGATTATATTCGATCCGGGCTTGACGGTGGTACCATTGAGTGGAGCACCGATTTCAATGCCCTGGCCAAGGGCCCCGACCGCCAGCATGCAGCTGAGCACCAAAGAGGAGATGAATTTCATTCTTGGGTAGCGGGTGAAGGTGGCTCGGGGGGGAAACAATGTGAGCTTCTAGGCAACGTAGCAGTCTTTATACACAAACTGGATGCCACGTCGTTTAATACGGCTGGCTGGGTTAGGGCGTCGATTCTGCATAGCCATAGACGAAGAATGACACTTTCGAACCATCGAACCAATTAATTCCAACGTACGAGTCTAGGACGGGGATTTTTGATCTGCCCGCACCTTCAACGTACACCAGTATCCTGTCGAGTTCTGGACATGAGGTACGGTGGAACATCAGCGGTGAGAATGAGTAGGGAAAGGCAGGATTCGGCAAGGTGCAGCCGGCAAATTCCGATCAAATATTGATGATGAAATCTTCTGTCTGTCAGCTCAGCCCAGACGCGAAGAGAGCAAAGGTGCGCAACTCGCACCGAGTCAAACTCGGCGCGAACTATTTCTAACACCGAGTACAGGCCCTGCAACTCAAATCCAACCCGAAGTAGGGATGTCCCCTGGTTTTACGTGCAAGCCACATCCTTCACGTTACCTTTAGCTTTATCAAGCCGCGGTATTCACCTGAGTCTTTTCTTTGCTTCTACGCTCACCGACGAGCTCCAGGTCCAATCAATGTCATCCGATTCCCCGACGAGCACCTTTCCGCCGCACCCTCATCTCTTGGCCCCGTCTCTTCACATCGGGCATTTACCAAACCACGCGCGGGAAGACCAGATAAGGGCCATATTCAAGGCCGAATGCCCTACTGCGACCGTGACCTTCAGCCGGAGCAAAAACCGCAAAAACCGGGGTGCTCTTCGGGCCTGTGTCGATTTTCCGGACCTACACTCCGGTACATACCCGTCTACGCGTCGCAATTCGCTGTTAATACGTTGTTTTTTGAAGCCGAAAAGGCGTTGGCGACGCTAAAGTCCCAACGGATACCTGGCACCGACCCTCCCGTACTCCTCCAGCTTTTTACCGCCGCCAGCTTCAAACCGCTTGACGTCCCGGATCCTTCTGTCTCCCCCAGAGTAATCAAGCCATTGCCAGCGGGATGTACCGAGGGCGCCCTCTACGATCTCCTCCGGCCCTATGGCCCGCTCCACTCAGTGCTCATCGACCCGTTCGCTGGCGGTCTGGTGCAGTTTTGGGATGAAGCTAACGCCGAAGACGCGGAAATCTCTCTTGCGGCCACTGACATCTTACTCCACGTCTACGATCCGTGTTCCCTTTTCTGTTCTGTGTGTGTACATGACTGATCTGTTAAGAAGTATATGTTGAACTCCGCACAGAACATCGGCGTCGATATGAGCGCACTGACCCTCAGAACCCATTTCGAAGAGGTGAGTTTTTCGGTTCTTTCTTTGGGGGCCGAGGCTCATGCATTGCGTTAGTTCGGCCATATTATCAGGTGAGGCTAGCCGTCTGCTGCCTACCGCATAATTTGAGCTCCCTCCAGCGCCGAGTTACTTAGCCACCCCTGGCAACCGCGAAAGAGTCGAGGCTCCGGTTTTGTCACTTTCTCGGATGCAAACGAAGGTAATGCAAGCACGTTCTCCGGATATCTGAACGAGAAACTGAGATATATTCAGCCGCCAAGGCCATGTATGCGATGCACGGCACGGAGATCAATTGGAGAGTCATCTCGGTGTCGTATCGCGTGCTCAACGAGGACGAAAAACGGATGAAATCGGGAAGCAAAAGTGATTCTTTCGAGCAGAAAGAGCAACAGGACGATAATAAGGGTCCGCCGCCACCGGCCACCAAGAAACCCGCAAAGCCCAAAAAGACGACTGTGGCCTCGGAACACGATCCCTGCGCACCGTCGAGTCGCGAGTTCCCCGCTCACGGCGCTTTCGTACAGAAAGAACAGGTCGATAATAAGGATCCATCGCCGCCGGCCACCAAGAAACCCGCACGGCCCGAAAGGACGACTGTGGCCTCAGAACCCTCACCAGCCGAGCCCTGCGCACCGACGAACACCGAGTCCCCTGCTCAAAGCGACCTCGAGCTCTTGCAGGGGCTATACGACGCCGAGATGAAACTTCGTGTAGCGGCAGAGGCCGAGGCCGCGCTGCTGCGCGACGAGCTAGACCGTGTCAATCGCCTCCTCGCAATGTCCGAGAGCCGGGTGAAGATCCTGCAGCTCGAGCTGGACCGGCCGCTCTGGGACGAAGCGAAGAAGAAACGCGAGGAGAACGAGGAGGCCGAGCGCGTGAAAGAAGAGGAGCGCCGCCGGGTGGAGGAGTCGCGTCGGAAGATGCGTGAATTCTTGGAACAGGAGGAGGAGAGGAAGCGCGCGGAGGCGGCCGAGGAGAAGGAGCGTTTGCGGTGCGAGGCGGAGGAGAGGGTGCGGCAGGAGAAGGAGGCGCGCGAGGCGGAGGAGAGAGAGGAGCGCGAGCATCTTGCACGCGAGGAGAAGGCACGGGTGGAGGAGGAGGAGCGCGAACGCAAGGCACGCGAGGTGGAGAAGCAGCAACGCGAACGCCGTGAACGTGAAGAGAAAGAGCAGCGCGAACGCCGCACGCGCGAAGAGAAAGCACGGTTGGAGAAGGAGGAGCGCCAGCGCAAGGCCCGCGAGGCGAAGGAGAAAGCGCGCTTGGAGAAGGAGGAACGGGAGAGACAGGCACGCGAGGAGGAGGAGAGGACCCTCCGGGAGAAAGAGGAGCTCGAGCGACAGGCGCGCAGGAGGCTGAGGGCGTGGTGGGCGCCGGCGGAGCGCGAGCGGCAGGCGCAAGAGGATGAAGAGAGGGCGGGGCGGGAGAATGAGGTGGAGAAATCGCGCCGCAGGATTCGCGAATGCTTGGCAGAAGAGCAGGAGCTTAAACGCGTGGCGGCGGCGGAGAAGGTGCGCCTGCGACGCGAGGCGGAGGAGCAAGCGGAACGGGAGCGTTTATCGCCCGAGGAGGAGGAAACGGCGCGCCGGAAGAGACAGATTGAAGAATCGCGCCAGAAGATTCGCGAGGTCGAGGCGGCAGCGGCGGAGAAGGTGCGCTTGCGACGCGAAGAGGAAGAGAAAGCGGAGCGCGAGCGCTTGGCGCAGCGGGAGAAAGAGATTGAAGAATCGCGCCAGAAGATTCGCGAGGTCGAGGCCCTGGAGCAGGAGCGGAAACGCGTTGCGGAGGAGGCCAAGGGAAAGGAGGCAGACCGCCGGCGCACCGAGATTGAGGAGTCGCGAAAAAAATTTGCCGAGTTTCAAGCGCAAGAGCAAGAGCGACAACGCGTGGCAGCGGAGACCAGGAAAAAGGAGCGCCTGGCGCGAGAGGCGGCGGAGAAGGCACGACGGGAGCAGGAAGAGCTCGAGCGCCCGGCGCGCGAGGAAGAGGCCCGCCGGAAAATTGCCGAGTTCCAGGCGGAACAGGCGGCGCGCAAACGCGCGGAGACGGAGGCCAAGCATAGCGAGCGCTCGCCAGAAGAGGAGGAGGCACACCGTCGCGCCGCTGAGGTCGAGGAATCGCGCCGAAAGCTTCGCGAGTGCGAAGCCCAAGCGCAGGAGCGGCAGCGCTCGGCGGCGGAGGCCAGACTGAAGGAGCACCTGGCGCACGATGCGGAGGAGAAGGCGAAGCGCGAGAAAGAGGACCACGAGCGTCAGGCTCGCGAGTTCCAAGCTAAAGAAGAGGAGCGCAAACGCGCTGAGACGCAGGCCAAGCACAAGGAGGACCCGCCGCACCAGAAAACAAAATCGAAGGACCGGCCTGTATCGCTGCGCAGTCCATTTAGTTGGATGAAGGGACGTAAGGAGAAAGCGGAGCGGGAGCGTCAGATGCGCGAGGAGGAGGGGCGTCGCCGGTTGGCCGAGGAAGAAGAAGAGCGCCAGGAGATTCGCGCGCTGGAGGCACAAGAACGGGAGCGCCTGCGGCGCGAGGTGGAGGAGAAGGCGCGGTTGGAGCAAGAGGAACGCGAGCGCAAGGCGCGCGAGGAGGAAGAAAAAGCGCGATTGGAGAAGGAAGAGCGCGAGCGCAAGGCCCACGAGGAGGAGGAGAATGCGCGGCGGGAGAAAGAGGAGCGCGAGCGCAAGGCACGCGAAGAGGAGGAGAACGTCCGACGGGAGAAAGAAGAGCGCGAGCGCAAGGCACGCGAAGAGGAGGAGAACGTCCGACGGGAGAAAGAAGAGCGCGAGGCGCGCTGGAAGGCTGCGACACAGGCCGAGGAGGCGCGGTGCGAGCAGCGCGGCCAACGACTGTGGGGCACCGGCACTTGGACCCAGGCCCGCGCGCTGCAGCGCCTGAAGCTCCAGATGGACGAGTTTGACAAGATCAAGTTCTCCGAGTCGCAGCCGCTGACGTTCGGCACCGTCCCTTGGCCTGTGCTCACCGACCCGCTGGACCTGGACATCGAGGCGATCACTTGGGACGCCGTTGAGGCCTTCTTTGCGCGCGCGAGGGTACAAATGGCGGCGGACGCCGGGGCATACGCCAGTCTTGTCGGGAAGGTGCATCGTGCGTTCCACCCGGACAGATGGAAGGCGCGCGGCGTTCTCATGTCTGTCATGGATGAGGAGCTGAGAACTTCTTTGGAGACGGCGGGGAACGTTGTCGCGCAGGCCATGACACCGCTGTGGAGGAAATCGAAGGGGTATACTTGATTTATTGTGTAAATATTCTTGCGAACTTCAGCTGACATGATCTTGACGTCTGCCAACTTGTTGAATGCGGGCTCGGGTCGCATTATTGTGCGTCCTCTTGGATTGAGCAGGTGCGCCGCCGATCAAAGATATCAGATAAGGGCGGTGCCCAATCGGATGCCTGGATTCCATGTCCCGACTACTTCCGACGACACTTTGGCCGAGTGGTTGAGGCGATGCCCTGCTAAGGCATTGAAGTTTCTCTGCGTGTGTTCGAATCGCACAGGTGTCGGGTTATTTTTCTTGGCTGAGGGAAGGCCGGGGGGCCGATTTCTGTGGTCAGCCATCCATCCATCCAGGCATAGAGATAGCTCCAAGGGAGAAGGGAGTGTACACCTTCGTACCGGCAAACATGGAAGCAGGGGTACACAGATAAGAGTTGCAATTGGATTGGGAATTCTCTCCTTCCTTTGGGACATCCTATGTCATTGTTATTTTCTCGCTCCTTTCCTTCGTTTTCACTCCTCGCCCTACGACTTTATCCTGACGCTCACCCACAGCTCCTGTGCACGATTTTTTTCCATCTACCACGTGGCTCAGCGCGGACGACGACGACGCGATGGGGCTCGAGTCCATCTGGACCCCGGCGTGGTCGCAGATGCCGATGACGCGAGCTTCGACGACGGCGACGTCTCGAGCGCGTCGCACGCGCCGTCCACGAATCAGCGGCAGGACCGGAAAGTAGCCGGCCGAGCGCGCGTGGTACGTACGCAGACGTGGCGCGAAGACGACGTCCAAGGCGAAGGTGAAGCCAAAGACGAAGGACAAAGAGGAGGAGGACGCGGTGTATCGGTCATACGGGAAAGGTACATCTGAGTATACTACGGCATGTGAACGTCACAAACTTCCTAATTCGCTTTCTGCACGTCGGGTCGCAAGAACCAGGGCACGTAGGGTGAACAACTCCGCCTCAGAGGTAATCGTGGCAGCGAACGGGAACTGGCTACTGTCCAGGCCAGGGTGCAGGAAAGGCAATGGCTAGATCTGGCTCCGGACAACGTGGAATGGAAAACATGAAGTTCGGGTGGTGTGGACGGACAAGGAAACAGCTAGAGCCCTGCCCTACAACGAACTTTTCTTGGCCAGGCTTGAGAGGTCCAAACTCGTTTTTGAAATGCTCCTCCACAGATTTCAATTTCACTGCCGACGTTCCAGTCACGGCCCAGAGCTCGTAGCCCTCTGGGGCGTTCCTGGGTTCTTTGCAGCTTGTGTCGTAGAAATCTAGATAGTAGATTTGACTGGACGGGTGGGCGCCGCCGGAAAACAGGCGGATGATAAGATGATCCTGAGGAGGAGTAAAGAACATGACATCGGAGAAGTCTTTCGATTCTTCAGGTTTGAGCTGCTATCAGAGTGACACGCGGCTACCACAATAGTAGAGACGGGGGCAGCATGGGGGAGTGGTCTAGCATGCAGCTCTGGCTTCTGATTGATTTTTGAAGTCCTGGGTCCCGCGAGGGTTCGAACCCCAGTGACACCACTCCAATGGGATCAAATGGCTTTTGTGGATGTGCCAAGTTGATCCGGTCGGCCTGATGGCCGGTCGCCGTTTGGATCAGTATTCCTTTGGCCGCGGGTTTGAGTCCCGTGTTAAAACCACCAGGAGGTTTAGTGGGTATTGCGTTGTCAGCCGAGTCCCACAGTACCATAAGGGGCAGCTACCTAAAATGGGGCTTATGTCCAAACTGGTCTGCGTAAAAGCATTCCTTCCTGGCGGAGTGTAGTCACACTCTATCATTTCGGGTCACAGATTCCCAGAGACTACCTTGCGGATTTGTTCTCACGAACTAATGTTGGCCCAAAAGGGGGCTACGGCCTAGACCCAAGGGGGGTACCCATGATACGCTCATGGACTCTGAGAACAAATCAATTGCACCGCAAAAAAAAAAAAAAAAAAAAAAAAAAAACAATAGTAGAGACTGACTAACCCCAAGAGGGCGGATGGACGTGGTCATGCGATTCATGTGAGCAATGAGGGCTTCCTCCGTAAGCCCAGGCCTGAGAGTAGTACGGAGCATGTTGTTGGTCAAAGGACGCTGCCCCAAAATCTCGAGAAAGCGGTTGAGGTTGAGGCCTTCGACGGCGGCATCCGGGTAAGATGTCGTGGGTTGGAGTGAGGCTCAAGTGAGGCTGGAAGCCTATGCGCTGCTGTGAAAGCCTTAGGTCATCTGTCCCTCCATGGAGGCGCATAGTAGCACACACATTGGCTCGTCTCATGGACGGTTTGCGGTGGTAGGCAAGTGGCATAGCCCTTGTAAGGTCCGATCCTAAAATCCTGATTTTGGCCGTTTGCGTACGTCTGTTTTTGCACCAATTCCGTCCGCACTTGGGTGGAGGTCAGCCCTTTTTAGGCCCATGTCGTCCGCATAACGTATCGGACATTGGCACGCGAGAAGGTATGTTTTCGGCCATTTTACACAGTTTGTAATGGTTTTTTCTCTTCCCGTTCATTTCATGTTCGCTGGTCCCCAGATATGCGTGAAATTTTTGGATGTAGGGTGAATCTGTCCGCATCAGGGATGAGACATCGGCCTCCATACGCAGCGTCCTCACCTTTGATGAGACCTCGGTGCTTTTTCCGGCCTTTTCGTCCGCATACGGATGATACATTTGGCCGTTTTTCGGGCCAATTCCGTCCGCATTGGGATCGGACCTTACAAGGGCTATGCCACTTGCCTGCGGTGGTTGTGAAGTTGTTGTGAAGACCTAATTTGGTAATCGCTACTACACCTCCAATTTTTATCGGAAATTCAATTGAATGATAGAAATGGCACCAGAAGAGGCCCCTCTAATGATCTATCGTACCAGAACTTCGAAAAACTAAATGTTTTCGCCAACTAGATTTCGCGTTTTTGATCGCGGGCTAGGCTCGTGTCCAGCTGTTATAGTTGCAGCACAATGACGAGCAAGCAGGTATTGTGTACTATAACGGCTGGAAGCACTTAGCCGTGACTTGACAGATGGGAAATTCAAACTCCGATTATACCATATATGGAAAGCCCCTATTCACACTTCTGTGCATTGCAGCCCCACAGTTCACTCTATCTACCTCATGGAACTATGAAATCACAAAATCATCCTAAATAGCCTCCCCGGAAGGGCAGAATGGTCACCCCAATGTTCAACTGGCTGTTTTCTTGCCTGAAGCATTGCTTTGCCTGTTCGGACATCTTACATCCTCACAAAATTCTTCAGAAAATCCAGGGGAACTTGTTTATGCTACACAAGCTTTGTCACCAAGATTCTGTGGTCAAGGAGGTTTGGAGAATTGAAATGTGCACGGTTCCCTGCCGGAGATACTTCCCAATATGGTATAGTCGGAGTTTGAAACTCCCATCTATCAATTTACGGCTAAGTGCTTCCAGCCGTTATAGTAAGTATTACCTGCTTGCTCGTCAATACTCCCGCACTATAACGGCTGGACACGAGCCTATTCGCGGGCCGACGCTCCCGTATGCTCCTCCATCAATTCCCGCTAGTTCCCGCTTCACTCCGCCCCGACTGGTGGTGCCCAGCATGTTGGGAACACTCGCATGGAGGTCATCAAGTCACCTGAAACATATCTTCATTGACCCAAATTTCCCGACCAAATTTCGCGCTGTTTAACCCTAAGCGAGGGGGTGTTCCGATTTTTCTGAAATGAAAAAATTTATCAATGAAATAAGCTGTTTCCTGCCTGAATCTGCAAGAATGGACCGAAAATTCAAAAACTGTGGGCGGATCGAATACGGGGACAAGTTCGCGGCCCCCTCTGCCCAGAATACAATAAGTATAAGAGCAACAACGAGACGACGGCAGCCCAGCCTGAGGCAAACTATCGTATGTAGACTTAATGGATTCATCCTGGAGGTCAACGTCAGAGACGCCGCACATAGTTGCTGGGAAGGAAGCAAGTCCTGGGAACAATAAATGGCAGGTTCTGGAATATTAATTGTATCTGACGGTAATGAGAGCCTTGACCGACTTCGCATACGAGATACAGTGCACGTTCTAGACAAAATGACGGGTTCCTCAGGCCTCAATGACTGCCTGCATGGAATAATGATCTATAATCCTACGCACGACATGATAACCGAAACACGGCGCACGTACAGAGCAACTAGCTACACGAGAGAAACCACGATGGTGTATTCAGCACAAGAAAAAGAGGGAACGGACACCCAGAGAGTAAAAGGAATAAGGCAGAAATAAAGAGTTGGTTTGCGTTCTGGATTATGGATCAGGTGAAGGCGAGCGCGGAATCCCGTGCTCAATGCGCGCCGCCGCAGCGAGTACCGAGCGTGCGGGAAGTAGTACGGGCGACGCGCGCCGCGACAGCAAATCATCATCCGCGCTCTCGCTGTCCGCGTCCCCGTCGCCCCGCCGGCGGCTCCGTCCAAAGTCCAGCGACCCCCCGCCGCTCGAGCGCAGACTCCGCAGGGCGCCAAGCCCGCTGATCCCGCCCGCGGCGCGCACCATGGCGGGGTGCACGACACTCCCGGAGCGCGTGCGGAGCTCCGTCTGCGGGAGCTGCAGCTGCGCGTGCGACGCGCGGCGCGCAAGGGCCGGGATGCGCGACGGCAGGGGCAGGGGCGACGGCGGGCTCGGGTGCTGCTGCCGCTCCAAATGCTGCTTGAGCACGGGTGACGACGGGGCGTGCCGCAGGCTCGGGGCGCGGGTCTGCTGCGCGGGCGAGGGCGGGCTCGGCGGCTGCTGCTGAAGCCGGTCTAAATGCGGTTTGAGGACGGGCGAGGACGGGGCGTGGCGGAGCGTGGGCGTGTGCGCCGGGGGCGAGTGCTGCTGTGGCAGGGGCGGTATCGGTGCGGGGGCGTGCAAATGCGCGTACGACGAGCGGCGGCTGAGCGGGTGGCGCGGGGACATAGGCGACGGGGGCGGCACCTGGCGCGGTGCTGGCGAGGACACCTGTTGTACCTGTGGCCGGAAAAGGGGCGCCTGCGACATCCGGCGGGCAGCAGGCGATTGCTGTGGCTGGGGGCGTGGCGACGTCACCGGGCGAAACAGATTCGGCGAGGGCGAGGACGGCGAGGGGACGACAGAGAGCGGTGACGGCTTCTTCTTCCTTACGGGCGGCCCCGTCAGTACGACAGCCTGCTTTAACGGCGGCGGGGGCGGGGGCGCGCGCGCACCAGACCCAAACGGCCGGCGCGCAGCACCCCCGAATCGTGCACGCGCCTCCGCGACGGACGGCAGGTCGACGCGCGAGCCAAACGTCGGCGTCCCACAGCGGCTGCTCGCGCGCTCCACCATCCCCATCTCCAGCTCCCTTTCCCTCTCCATCTCCATCTCCGCGTCCCGTTCCTTCCCTCCTCCCCGCTGTCCCGCCCCGCGCGCCTTGCCCGCGCTGGACATAGACGGCACGTCAAAGAACGCCGAGCCGCTCCCCGCCCTCGCGCGCTTTTGGGGTGGCAGGGGCGCGGGCACGGCGACGATGTGCCCAAAGAGCGAGCCGGGCGCCTTGGTGACGCGCACGACGCGCCACCCGGCGGACGCTGCGAGCGCCACCGTCTCGCGCAGCGTGCGCTCCTGCCCGTTGAACGTCACTTGCATCTTCACATCACATCAGCCGTCGCACACAAGCAAGCGAGGCGAAATAAACACACGGTAAGATCCATCCAATAAGCGTTCGCGCTCGCCTTGCCCAGGTTCGCGAGCAGCGGCGCCGGCGCGAGCGTCGTCTCCGCGCCCTCGACCTGCTGCTCCGCCCCGCCGCTCCCAGTGCTCCCGACGCCGAAATCGTCCACGCAAGCGAGCGGCAGCACCCAGTCCGCGAGCACGAGCCGGGTGTGTGGCGCTGCCGCGGCACGCAGGCGCAGGAGGATGCGCTGCGCGAATGCGTCGGGCCAGTCGTGCAGCACGACGCGGAGGAGGAAGACGGCCGCGTCGATGATGGGCTGCGGCGTGAAGAAGTCGTGGACTGAAGCGGGGGGTGGTTAGCGTTCGGAAGAAAGGGAATGGAAAGGAGGAGATGAGGGGCGTCGGTGAGCATAATGCACGAAGAATGCAAGACGGACGACAGAGAAAATTCGGAGGAATTTGGAGAGAACGAAAAACACACTCACCCTGAAACCTCACCGCCCCCGACTCGAGCAGTTCCGGACACTTGTCCCGCCACGCCTTCTCGCCCATCTCCACCACCACCGGCCGGTCCTGGATCACGAAGCGCAGCCCGGGGCCTACCAAAACGTGTCAGTCAAACATCATATTCGTATCCAGTTAGCCATTTGGGAAGGCCATAGCGTATTTGGGACCGACGTCTTTGGATTGAGATGAAAAAACACGCACCCTCCTCCGCGTCCGCAAACGTGCTGGCAAGTAACATGCTCGTCGACCCGATCCCGCCGCCGACGTCCACGACCGTGCTCCCGCGCGGGAGGGACGCCCAGTCGAAGCCTGTGTGTGCGCGAGCGTCAGCGAACGCGATCAAGCGCAGGTATGAAGAAGGAAGACGGGATGGGGAACGCATATCAACGCGAAAGGAAATGGCGAGAAGGGACGACCGGCGCAAAGACGCACCTTGCAGCACCGCCCCCGGCGCCTCCCAGCTCCCCGTCCCCGACATCGCGCGCCCGAAGCGCTCCAGCCGGAATCGGTTCGGGTTCCCGTCCTTCCCTCCCTTCTCCTTCTCGTCTTTTCTCCCACCCTTCTCCGTAGAATTGGAAGTAGAAGCGGAGGCGGACGAGGGACACCCCTCCCCCTCGAGCCACGCGAAATAGCCCACGCCGCCGCACCCGAACGCGTAGTTGAACGGCGCGCGCGTCGGGTCCGTCAGCGGCTCCGTATTCCCGCTCTTCGTACTCGGAGGGCCGGTGTTCGGGATAGAGATGGAAGTGCCGGCGGCGGTCGATGTGGCGTTCGAGGAGAAGGATGGCGAAGTGGACGTCGAGGAAGACAAACTGGAAGCCGAGAGAGGGAACGTCGCGGCCGTCGGCGACGCGAGCCCGCGCGCGGTGGGGCACCCGGGGAAGACCGCCTCGGTGAGGTACGCGCTCGATTTGTGCAGCTCGTCGGTGCTGCGGGTTCGTTAGTGGCGTATTCAAAGACGGGAAGGAAGTAAGGGGAAAGAGAAGGCGATCCAAGACGATTGGATGGAATCGATGGCAAAAAATGGAGAAGCCAGGCAGCCCAGCACCGCGCATTCGAGACGCGCACACGTCGGGAATTAAGAGCGGAAGGGATCCACATGCGAGGCACATCGAAACACAGGGAAAAAGAAACCTCTGCACGGCCCACAGATGTCCGCCGAGTGCACACGTCTCCGTGTGTGTTGGCGTAGTGCAAAACCAGCGCGTCACGACAAAATAAGAGGAAAGCGAAAAAGACTCCCGATTTTAAAGGTTCCCAATCGAAATCGAATCACAAGAAATCGAAAAGCAAAAATGAGAGACGACGAGAGGAAAGGCTACGAACCAAAGGCCGACAAACGCTGCGATCGCCCCGCCGTCGGCGGCGTATTTGTTGCTTGGGCTGTGAAAAAAGAAAAACAGATGGGTCAGCGAGCGCTCAGCAACGAATCGTGGACAGAAGAAATAAATCAAAGCCAAAAAATAAATAAAAAAAGTGAAAATAAAATACAAACGGGGATCGGGCGCGCGGCGCAACGAAAAGGACCGCCCGAGCCCAGACACACGCCATCACGCATCACGCGTCAGGCAGAAGGCAGATGGGTGCGCGTAATCGAAGGCTATCGGCGCACCGCTTCGATTACGCTCGGAAGAAAAGACGCGAAGTGTGCGCCACGATGGGCCCAGAAGGAAGGGGAGATAGGGAAGGAAAGGGGGGATGTGATTGGCAGGTGGGGCCGCGGGAGCGAGTCGGGGTGCGAAAGGGGCGGGAGGGGGAAAGGCGCATCGGGGAAAAGAAAGAGATAGAAGGAAAGAACGAGAAAAGAAAACGCACTCGGCGACGAGCTCCTCCAGATCGCGGCCCGTATCGATGAGGCTGCTGATGCGGTTGACGGCAAACACGTCCGGGACGACCTCGCGCACAACGTGGTGCGTCGCGAGCAGGCGCAGGACGTGCGCCAGCGTCTTCTCCCCGCTGCCCATGCCCACCCCTCCTCCCTGAACACCGCTCCCGTCGTCGCCCGCCATCCCGACGCGCCGTGCAATGTCCGAAACGTGCATGGGCCCCGCGCGCAGCGCCTCCGCGACGTGCGCGGCTTCGAACAGGCGGAGGCAGCTCGGGAGGTGGTACCCCATCCCCGCGTCGCACAGCGCGAGGAACGGGTTCTGCACCGTCGCGGCGATGTGCCCGGCCGCGGCGAGGATGCGGTTCGTCGCAGCGACGACGGTTGGGTGCGCGGTGAGTTGCTCGGCCGGGGAATGTGGGGCGTGCGGCGCGTCGAGGGCCGGGAAGTCGAGGGTGGGGTGCGCGGGCGAATTTGAGTTGGGGTTGGGGAAGAGAGGCGAGGGCGGCGGGGATGCGTACGCCGGCTTCTCGGTGCGCTCGGTGTCGGTCCCATTCTCGTTGCCGATGCCAGAGTTCTCGTCCGTGCTGGAGGGCGCAGCGTAGACAGCCTCGATCTCGTCGAGCGCGTCGCCCAAGATGGCGTGCAGTGCCCGCAGAGTCGCAAAGGTCATCCTACAGATCTTCTCGTCGCAGTACAAGGTTTTTCTGGAGTCCTAGTCTCTCCCTGGAACCCTAGGACGTCGCTTCACGAAGAAAGAGAGCACGAGTCCCAGTTGGCACTATCTAAGTCTCTTTTCTTCCCGTCGGACCCAAGTGAGTGCAGGTGGCCAGGTGGCCGTACTGGGCGCAGGAAGCGTTCAGATTGTGGCAGGAAGAGAGCAAGCCAGTTCAACGGGATCCGGTCGACGCTTGAGCCAAGTCCCTGCTCAGCTTGCTGCCTGCCAAATCCAGCCCTGTCAAAAACTTACAATCAAACCCTCGATCGAAACGACGCGTCTTCTCGCACCCATCCACCTGCCTCACAAAATGCGCGACAGCCCCGGACTGCGAAACCCGAATAACGCGTTTGCTCGACGTCGACATGCGCGTGTTGGGCAAAAGGGTACACGTTACGGCAGGTCTCGCAGTACTCTCGCAGTGCCACCGCCACCTATTTTCGCGAAAGCCGAGGATTCCCGAAAAACTCCGAAGGGCGCCGGTTCCGACGTCGGCGGGGCGTATGCATATTCGACGCGGTGTTCAACTGGGTGGTGGAGGTATTCTAGTGGTAGGGTAACTGGTGGGCCTTGGCTTTCTCTAGCTTTAATGGACAGACGCGCCATTATTTTTCACCGGCCGGAAGTTGCCGATGTTCAAATTCTGGAAATCCACGAAATTCGAATGCCTGCGGAGCTGCCACTGTGTCAGTGGATGGTGAGACCAAATTGCACCATGGGAAAAGAAAGGGGGAAGCAATACAAAGTTCAATGATGGCCCGGGCCTGATTCGAACAAGCTTCTCTCACTGCAATCATGTTTCTCCCGCCATAAGAGAGAGTGGGTGTCCGCCACCGAGCCTTTCCTACCTAGTTCTGGCCCTCTTTGTCAGGCTGCGTTTCCTTGACCATTTGTGAAACGAAAATACTATTCAAAAACGGATGGTGACACCGTTCGTGCATATGTACGGCTCGGGCCTGAATCGAACAGACTTCTTCCACTTCGATCACTGCTTCCCTTATAAATAGGGTGGGTGTGGACCATCCACAACTGAGCCTTCCCAACTTAGTTCTGACCCAGATTTTGAAGCTGCATATCTATTGGCATTCTTCGAAGCAAAGACTCTCAAGATATGGAAAAAGGTTTACAAGTGAACTCAAATGGTTCGGGCCTGAATCGAACAGACTGCTCTCACTTTAATTATCCGCTCATCGTCCAAACGGAGTGGGCGTGGACCATCCACCACCGAGCCTTGTTTTTGTTGCTGTATGTCTTTTAGCATTTTTTTGAAACGAAAATATCAAAAATGGTTACATCATCTGTCTATGTTACGGCTCGGGCCTGAATTGAACAGGCTGCTCCCACTTTGATTCTCCTCACCTCGGTCAAACGAATTGGGTGTGAACCATCCACCACCGAGCCTTTCCTACCTAGTTCTGAGTCTGTTTTTGAGGCTGTATGTCTTTTAGCATTTTTTGAATCGAAAATATCAAAAATGGTTACATCATTACGCTATGGCTCAGGCCTGAATCGACCAGACTTCTCCAACTGCAATCAAGTTTATACAAGACAGGAGAGAGTGGGTGTGGACCATCCACAAACGAGCCTTTCTTACCCTGTTGTTCACTTAGCCATGTTCACAGGCTCAAATGGAACAAGAAACAAATGCAAAACCAACAGTGATCTCATACCACAGATTATACGTATACTCATTGTCACTTACTAGAATGAACTGACATTTACACACATGAATTTGCATGGATATCCACTCAGATCTTCAAAAAAAAATCAAAGACAGTAAATCCACTACAGATCTATTCAATAACAGCAAGTCTGCCATCAATTTTTTCAATGTCTCTGGCTTGCAAGCTTCGTTCAAACAGTGGTCGTGCTTCTCTCCACAACTCTTCAGCACGCTGGAGATCTCCCTGTGTCTGTGCAAGGTCTCCCAGACGTAACATACATTCAGCTCTGCTGCGATGAATATCCATATATGTAAAACCTTCTAGGGCTATTGTGAAGAGGGTTTCAGCTGTGGCTTGATCTCCATTGGCAAGGAACACATCTCCTAGACAGCGAAGTGCTTTGTGTATAGCCAACTTATTCTGTGATTTGCACGCAAATGCGAAATAGACCGCTGCACACATGGAGGCCCAATGAAAATCAGCGACACTCCATTGATTGATGTCTGCCATTCGTTCCAGGCAGTTGGATGAAACTTCAGAAGTTCTCGAGGATAATTCTAGACATTTTTGGAATATAGATTTCGCTTGTGCAAGCTCTCCTTTTCTCAGATGTAATTGTGCCAGAGTCCTTTCACAGTAGGTAATCCCATGAACATGTGAAATGCTCTTAAGTATTGTAACTGCCTTGGCCAAATTGTGGTGTATGTCAATTTCTTGCCCACCAGTCTCCACATCAATCTCTGCAATATTCACCAGGGCATAGGCATAGTTCAAGATGTCTTGGTCTCCTGATGTCTCTTGAGCAATTCGAAGTTGAATTGCCCTTGCCTCAGCATATTCTGATTTGAGCAGATGTACCTCTGCCTCACTATTCATGATTAGACGATCGAGTTCGCCCTGAGACATGCCAGTCAAGAGGCTTCTTGCTCTTTGCAGTTGGAGAACACAGTTTTTGTAGTCACCAAGTTCTGTAGAACACTGGGATTGAGTTCGCAGGGCCATGGCTTCTGCATAGAAATTTCCAGCTATGCTGGCAAGTCTTTGTCCCTCCATCGCAAGTCTTTGTCCTTTGGCATATTCACTGCTTTCCCACCTGATAATTGCAAGATTAAGCAATGCATAACTCTCGCCTGTGGTATGTCCAGCAGATTTTGCCACCAAGAGTGCTTTCTCAAGCAGCTCAATGCCCTTGGACATATTGCTTGTATTATAAGCATAGTAGTAACCAACTGTGCAATAGAAGCGGCCTATAAAACATAATTAGAGTGCATTCACAAGCAGATCTTACTTGACCTACATTCTAGGATGGGATTGTCGAAATGGTCCAAGTGGGATATGGCCCGAGAAATAAGTAGTTCTGGATCCTCAACAGAGTGATAATGAACACATTTGAAAATCTCTGTGATGAATCCTACTTCCAATTCATGATCACAAAGTTGAGGAAAGAGAGGTGGAATCTGATCCATCAATGCAAGCCATCCATGCCCAACCAGTTGGTTGAAGGAATTGAGAGAGATTGTGCACTTGATGGTGTCTGCGAGATCCGGACTTTGTGGATCTAATCCTCGCAATAACACTTGATGTAAATTGGCGGAATTCAAAATGATTTGATTGGTCTGGTAGGTTTCCTGGTAAGAGCCTCTATATTTTTGGTACACCTCCAGCAAGGCATGAAAGTGGTTCCGGAGAGGCCGAAGCAGGGATGGTGCAACTGGGTAGAAACGTTGCATGTGTTCTCGAATGGGCACTAATGACTTGAACCGTCTCTTGTCATCAATAAATGCCAATGATGTACCCAGCAATACAGCTTTGCAGGCCAGGAGATCTTGAATAGGAAGTGTGCTTTGGAGAAGCTCGATATCTGAGAGACCATCTGGAAGGACCGAGAGGAGGCTCAATAAATTTTTGGCACCGGGCAAGGCAATAAGCCGAGGACTTGAAAGTGAGAGTTGGATGGATATATCCAAATTGGATCTTTTATCATGGCCTTGGGAGAGGGAAGTGGTCTTTTCCGTCTCCCAGCGAGATAAGACACTAGAATACCCATCATAATCAACTAAATGAGCCATGAGATTTACTGCCAATGGCAGGTTGTCAGTCAACTGAAGGAGTCGGTCGATCTCTGGAATTTCATGGATGTTATCTGTGATGTCAATGAAAATTTGTCTGGAAGCCTCGATGGATAAAGGTTCCAAAGGGACCAGAAATGGTCGAGTCCAGCGGACCTTTGAAGGTCTTTCTGTGCCCCGCATTGTAATCTATCAATAAAATCAGTATTCGGAGCTATCAAAGCAAAACAAATGCTCACTATCAATGCGAGATGGTGTATACCAGTAAGGAGGGACAAAAACTCTTCAACACCCTTACGAGATGTAAGTGGCTCCCAAGTTGTTTCCAGGTTGTCCAGGATCAACAAACAAGGCTGTTTTCCAGACAGATATTTTATGACTGGTTTCGTGAGGTCCTTCCCCGGTTTGAGGCCAATATGTGCCCCAATGAGAGCAGCAATGTCAAGGCTACTAATAGCTGCATCACATGGCACAAAGAACTGCTGCTCGTATCTTGCCCCAACCTCCGGGTGATGCAGTGCCGCTCTTGCTAGACCTGTTTTTCCCATCCCACCAGGCCCTAGAATTGCAATCCTGGCAGACTCTGGGGAAAGCATTTTGACAATTGCCTGGAGTTCTGAGTCACGACCGTGGAAGATCTTGGGCTTTGCTGGGAGCATTGAAAAGGACTGGGAACTTCGGACAAGGAATCAGCATATCTCCATCGAGATATTGGTTATTGCATACCTCAGTTGAGATCTATTGAGGGTTTGGTACATCTGGTTGGCAAATTAAAATTCGAAACAAACACCAGATGGGAATTCACGTACAGAAAAAGCCCTGTCTGAAGCTGTTCCATCTGAAAGACCTGAAATTAATTCAAGGAGTTCTGTATGCATATTGTCTGCTATATTCTGCATGTCCTGAATGTTGGTCAACTTGTTGGCCCCATATTCAATCTATTCAAGAGGTGAGTTCCGAATCATTGCAGGATTTGAATCAACGGCACCTTGAAAACTTCTAGAGCCTGCTGAATCCCTGTGTTACAATCTTTGAGCAACCTGTTCATTTCACCCTGTTGAAACAAGTGCTTGATCCGGTTTCCCTCGGACTGCATCTCGACGAAAGAATGTATCTTGTGAATGGTTCTGTTGAAGTTCAGGCATGTATCTCTGAGATCTGTACAGTTAGATACTCACTCCATAAATTTTCCGATATGGGCCAGCATGTCCGGCGGAAGGCTTCCCGCAGTCTCTGACTTGAGATGAGCAGCAGCGATACCGAATAAAACTTGATGGATATGTTCCATTAACTGTAAACACTCATCCTTGTTCTTCTTCACATTCTAAACCTCCGTTGTTAGATGGGTGCAACTTCTTTTTTTTTGCAAAAATCGTCACCTGGATTGCGGTAATCAAAGAAAGTGTTGTCGTTGTAATTGCCTCAAGGAATAGGGACCCACATGCATCATGGAGCTCATGAAGGAGGGGTAGAGCTGACTGCAGACAGGCGATGATGTTGCTGACACGGATATCGGTGACTGTGTGTTGGCGGGGCATGCTGGGAAAAGCGAGCAAGAACTTGCCGCGCTGGCCCTTATATTACACATGCCCGAAAATCTCAGTCTTAGCGCGTTAGGGGTTTGTTCCATCAACTTCTTTGCTGATGTCCGCAGATGTCCGCTGTGCAATCACGGGTTGATGTACACGAATTGATACCAAAGTGACTCGCGGTGCTGAATTCTACAAAACTCTTCGTCACTTCCCCTCCCGTATCCCATCTCGTGCAGCCGTGCAGCTGATCTTCCGATTTGTGTGCATCCGACTCAGCGTAAATACTGGATCACAAGTAACGATTCATACACCCGAGCGCTGATCGGCGATCGCTTGATAAGAATCCCATGCTACCCGAATGCTATGCCGTATGCGCAGCGCCCAGCATATTATTATTCGGAGTCTGGACGCGCTGACGCCGTGGACGGCGGAGGAGGAAACATCACCGGGCCAGACGGAAAGACGTTCCGCAGGTAGGTCAGATACAATGGTTTGAGAATATTCCACAGAGCCGTCGTCAGGTGGCAATACATAGAGCAAGGCATAGAGCCGTTAGTACCCTGATAAAGCAGGAGCCGAAAAATCCTCGTGTCGTACAAATAGTTGCCATGAACACATTGAAGGAAGCTGGGTCCACGAAACTGCGCAGATGTTTTTTGCCGATGAATTGACGTGAAGTCGGTGCCATTTTATACGGAATTTCAGGATCAGATTTTTTGAGACGCGAGTTAATAATTGGAGTTGAGACGAAAGAAAAGAAGCCCGTTGCGCAAAGCCAATCAGCGTCAATGCACAAGTTAAGCGAATATAGACACACGGTGAACGAGAGAAGCTAGTGGAAAAGAGTGCATAAACCCGCATCGGCAGGCCCCGGGAAGCTCCACCAAAGGACTGTCCGGAAAAGTGGCTTTTTGAGGGCAAAAATTCGTGATTTCCTTGTCCAAAAAGTGGCTTTTTTGGACCCAAAATCGGCCGACCCTGTCCTCCAAAGTGGCTTTTTGAGGCCAGATTTTGATAAACCTGATGAAAAGTGGCCTATCCAGGGAGCCCAGGGCCCAAACCTGACTGACCATACCATCGGAAAAGGTCAAGGTACCACAAAATGCCAACGCATAGTCTGGCCCGATACTGATGTC